TGACCTGATAAAGACTACATGAAAATAATCTACCACATTTTACTTTTTTAACATAGTTACGAGGTTGAAAGCATTTGACTTCAAGTTGTATATTTAAAACTCAGTCGTATCATTGCTAACACGTAATATACAACATGTGAAAATGGCAGGAAGTGTATTATGAGTTTACTTCAGATATCCATGGTTCTTTTGGGAATCATTGGATCCCCTCTTATTCCTAATGACATAATGCATGAGAATCTGTGTTTACTTTACCAATACCCTAGACGTTTCGTATTAACCTACATAGGATAGAGACGCTTCCTCTTCATCGTATTGCCCCATTTTTCAGAAATAAGTTTCAAACCAATGAAACAGAAATTTCTTGTTGATCTTATTTCCTCGAAATTTTTCTTTGCCATTTTAACGCATATTTCCCAATACTTCAGAAATACTGGAACAATACGATATAATAATAATAAGCATTCAACCACAAATTTGAGAAATTTTTGCTGGCTTGGACTATTCAGAGGATTAAATGTATCTCCAAGCTTCTGTGTGTGTTTGCATTAATTTAATCGTTGAAAAATAAAGTTCAACATTGCGAAAATAAAAACATTTGAAGAAAACAGAACTTTTTCTTAAAAGAAGGAAAAAAAAATATTTTTTTCACAAACACCTCAGTATAAGTTAATATATGAGATTTGACACAAGGTTTTCTATACTTTGCTTTTGAATTGTTTGTAACTTGAGCAACAACTGTTTTACTGTATTAACAATTCTTAAACGTAAGTTGTACCTTCCTATAATTGTTGAAAATATAAACCGACAATATATTTTGAAATAATATCCAAATGAAATAAAACTAGTTCCTTTAACACAATGAAACCAGGACTGGCTTGTTAGTTCGGGTGCAAGAATGTTTTATAGACTTATCTTTTGCAATTATGTTATTAGTTTATTAGGAAATAGCTGGAGTACCCATTCCCTGGACGGAAGTTATTTAAATCCATGATTAATGAAAGGTTATCTTGGGACGTGAAAAATTGCTTCCCTTATATATAATTGTAAAAAACGCAAAAATTCACATAAAAATAGCAAAACATAAAATGTGAAGCCACAAGTTTGCATGTATCTCTGCATGGACCCACAAAACCTTCATGTCAAATTTGATGAAGATCCATTAACAGGGGGCGAAGTAGTGGTAAAAAACGCCCATAAAAACAACAACATACAAAACTGAAAATTTGTATGCATCTCCCCACGGATCCATCAAACTTTCATGCCAAATTTGGTTAAGATACACCTACAGGGAGCGAAGTAGTGGTAAAAAACTCAAAAACGCCCATAATAACAGCAAAATTGAAAAATTGTAAGTATCTCCCCGTGGACCCAATAAACCACAATGCCAAATTTGGTGAAGATCCATCCACAGATAGTGAAGTAGTGGTAAAAACTGCCCATAAAAACCGCAAAATAAAAAACTAAAAATTTGTATTACCTTCCCAAGGATCCAATGAACTTCCATACCAAATTTGGTGAAGATCCATCTACAGGGGGCGAAGTAGTAGCAAGAAACGCCCATAAAAACCGGAACATGCAAAATAGAAAATTTATATGTATCCCCGCAAGGACCTTATGAACCTCCATACCAATTTTGGTGAAAAATAACCACAGACTTTGTTGAAATATTTACAACAGATTCAATACGTAAAACGTTCAAATGAAACAAATCGAAAAGCAAATCGTTATACGATTCTTCTAACACTCTAGTGGGTGTGCAATATCCCCTACTTAAAGTCAGGAGGCTCTGCTATTTCCCCAGCACCCGTAATTTCTGCACTTTGAAAAGATGACTAAAATCATTTCGGTTTACGAATGATTTGTTTAAATTACATATTCTGGTAAATTAGAACAGGCTGGGTGGCAATCTACGAGTACAGAATCTAAACTTGTTGCGAAATATGCTTGCCCCTTTCTGCCATGTGGGTGTTATAACAATACGGTCAATCGAACTATTTGTTGGTAAAAAGTAGAACAAAAGCTGTCGGTGGGCAGTATTGAGTAGCTTTACATGAATGTTTGAAACAAACAGGAACTTCTGCATAGTTCGCAGCTGTTTGATCTCCTCAACGACCCCCAGTGGCACAGCGGTATGTCTACGGACTTACAACGCTAGAAACAGGATTTCGATACCTATGGTGGGCAGAGCACAGATAGTCCACTGTGTAACTTTGTGCTTAACTACAAACAATGATCTTCTTAAAATCACATATTTTTTTCTTCTTGACTATCAATCGACAAAAATCATATTTGAATAAAGATAATTATTTATCAACTTTGTTTATTGAACGATTACTCGGCACTTGCGACAGCAAAAGGAATTCTCAATTACAACCTCAGGGCAGTTACAACATCCGGGAAATTATCATTTATCTATTGTTTAAAAAGAACTTTAGCAACACAGTTTCTCGGATTGATTTTTACTGTTCAAAATAGTCTTCAACATCAATAAGTCCAAAATTTGTTTGTGTTAGAGCAAAGCCATATTGGGCTATCTGCTGTGTCCACTGCGTGGAACTGAACCCTGGATTTTAGCATTACATGTAAACTGAACGCTGACCAACCGTGCGATCAATAAGTCCAGAAATATATCCTTTCTGCAGACTTTGCTGGAGTTAATGCTTAACATCGTCAATTCTGCTTCATGCAGTTTATATTTACGACAGAAAATAGAATCTGTTGTTCACCATTTTCATTGCATTGAAACTTTAATGGTAAAAACTTAAATCATTTTCTTCAGGACTGTTGTAGCCTCATTCACATTTGCTTTTTTTCTGCAAAATCTAACCAGTAGTATAGTCAATAGTTGCCCTGGCGCCTACATGACATGTTTACATTTCAAACATCAATTGCTCTGGTTCTTTTTATACATGTCTGCAGAACCTGTGAAAAAAGAAATATATGTTCTGGCGTGGTATTGTATGTAATCACCTCAAAATAATAGTATGTTATAAATAACTAGCCAGGTTATCTGGGGAGCATTTACAAACTAAATTATATACATAATTAAATACTATCGCATGATTCTGTCAACTCTTTGGTTATTTGTTCCTTCTTTATACAACACCTGTACTGCAATAAATTAGTTTTTGTGATTTAATTCTTTTATCAGTCGAGAATTTACCAACACTTGCTCAGGCATCAGCCAGTTACATGCCAAGTCCAACCTTGTCTAGTCCACTGGTTATAACAAAAGGAAATGATGTGCTCATTCACAATCCTTTGGCCCTCTATAAAGCACCTTCGATACCAAATTTCTATGTATTCCTGAACTTTTAGTTTCATTTCTTTTTAATATGGTAATTGCGGCATTTGAAGCCATAGTGAATGTTATATAACTTGAGTTTTCAAATCTTTTGCAACTGAGTTGCATTATATTTTTGTGTGTTAACACAATGGGCTATCTGTGCTGTGTCCATCATGAGTATCGAATCCCAACTTTTAGCGTTATAAGCCTTCAGACTTACCACTGAGCCATTACATCATATACAGTACCTAACAACCTGAACACTGGTGACGCATCGAGTCTCTTTCCAAATTGTACCATTTGAGTTATGTTTGTAACTGGGATGATTATCAAGGAGGAACTTTCCTTTAGCACTGGCCAACCAGATACAAGGAATTATTTAACAATAATGAAGTTCATCATGTAATGAACAAAATGAAGTGAGGATCATTGAACTTTGGACCCAATTTTACATAAATAAAGATAAAAGGATCCAAGAATGACAGGAGGTGGCCAAAGCACTTGACAACCAGTAAATAGGAAATGAGTGCTGGTTTTGTGCTGCTTTCACTTAGTCAAAGCACAATAAGTTTCTTTGGGTGTATTATTATAATCAATTCATAAAATATTTCATTGTATAATTGCATTTCGCATTATTTATATTACATTGTATATGTTTTAGCTATATCTGAGAAGTGCAAAAGGTAAGGTTCACCAGCTTACTTTAACTCAACTCACCACTGTTTCATTACCCTTACCATTACTCAAACATTCTGAAATCGTTTAAAATTTGACAATTTAATACAGCAGAATTTGAAGTGTGCAAATTGCTATGTGAAAACTTGCATTAATTAATATTTTCGAAAAACATCAATAATATATTCAAAGCGCTATTGAGAACATGTAAAAGAAACAAAAACAGCCATACATTTAAGTTCATTTTGTTCATAAAATATGCAAATTTTCACCTGCTTGTAATCACCGAGTACGATTGTTTTATTTTTGATATTCTGCAAACTACACAAGGGCTACCTATGTTATACCTAATTTTGAATTGTTCTTATTTGTTGAATTTCGCGCAAAGCTACACAAGGGCTACCTACGTTAGACATCCTTAATTTTGAAGTGATAAGACTAGAGAAAAGGCAATTAGTCAATATCACCCATCAGTAACTCGTGGCTTACTCTAATCAAATAGTTGGATTTGACCACTACTCTTATAATGCACCCAAGGCCCCAAAGTGCCAAGTGCAATTTTAGTCTTCTCACCGGTAAAGGGCCGCAAGCATTGGAACTTCAGATAAACAAATCATTATGAACAGCTTTAATATGGATAGAGAAGAGAAAAAAAGCACTTTTTGTGGGAATTCATTAGAATAAGTTATGAGCACGGTACATAACTGAAAGTACAGCCAATCACACAGTACATTCAAGGCTGGTGTGTTACTAAGATATCATCTAGGATGAAAATGAGGCAAATTACATAATAATAATAATAAACCTGATTATTTGAGGTAGACCTTCCAAAAGTGATGGGGTCATTGGGTATATTTTGTGATTCAATGTCATTTTATATGAGAGATAAAATTGGCTTTAGTTTACCCAATTGTATTTCTATGTTATAAAGGAATAATTTTTTTTTTCATTTTCTAGGCAGGTTCCAAATACAACACAGATGAAAAGAAGTAAGGTATTTCTACCTGAACATATGATGTGAAAAAGATATGTTAGACAAGATGGATAACAAATTTAATATTTTCTTCTAATATTTGTTTAAACATGGAAAAAGAAAACAAGACACATTCTATCTCAACGAAATGTTATATCTGGGATTTAACAAGCATTATTATTAAAATATAATTTACCAAAACTCTTGAGAGGCTTTTCAGCTAGCTATTCATAAAGCATGGTAAAAATGCTACTAATATTTCATCAAGTTACACTGCATGACTTTGAGAATAATTAAATAAGATTCATTATCCAATAATTAAATTCAAGTACTTCAGCATGAAATCATTTTCTTGTTTTCACTATAACATGAGTTTTAATAACAAACATAGAAACTATAAAGGAAGTCGATGTGACCAAAAATTAAGCAGAAATGCCTGAGAGTTAATACAAAAGCAAACAATATATTCAAATTTAAGAAGCAATAACTTACTTGTGCAGACAAGTTCTCAGGACCTAAGATAATATATAACAGTACAAAAAGTAGTTCAACTAACTTAGAAGACTAGTTTCTTACTCAAATAGAAAATTTCTAACTTTACCTCACTTGTAAAATTTTAATGAGAAACACTCTCAGACGAACTCAACTTAATTTAAACTTTGAAAAACTACCTTCAGTTTTATTTTCACACAAACTGTACACACACTATCAAATGAACAAATAATCAGAAGTGTATTTCAAAACTAGTATTTAGAAACCAGAGTTTTTATCTAACTTTGAGAATTACCAGCTTGTGGGTTTTAAAACTTGTTATACAGTGACAACTTGTACACATAAAAACTGTGCTTTGAATACACATATAATGTAAATAAAACACAAAAAGCAATTACAATCCAAATATTTAAGGTCTGCTTACTCCTACTGAAACATTATTATCTTGAACATAATACATATAAACAAAAAACTTAACAATTATACATTCCATAAAGTAAATATAATTATTAGAACATACAGATATAGGTCATTATTTTATTCACACTAATATATATATCTATTAATAAATTCCAGTTTGCATTAAAAAAGTTGAGAATAATATGCTCATAATAATATAGACATATACCTCATAACTTTAGACATAAATAATTAAACTGAAAGCTCCTGGGATGATGGTTAAACAACTATAATGGTTGTTCCTAACTCTTATAATTTTTTTAGCATTAATGTGCCTTTATTTCATCTTGGTAACCAGAAATTTGATTTTTCCATTTCTGATTCTTCCTTTAGTAATAAAAACTGGAATCAAATTTTTAACACACAAGTTTTAATAGATTTCCTGTTTTACATTAATTATCACAATATCAAACTTTGCTTCATACACATCCTTAACCATGTGATATTAAATAAATCCAACCTATGACTCTCTATATTTGACTCGTACTCACTCTATAATCACTTTGTCAGTTTTAATAAGCTGTAAAAATGCAAATATATTGTTCTCTTCAGAGTCATACTTAATTTAATCCTATGATGAAACACAAAACAATCTATCAATTTCACTTGTAGTTTTTCTGTATCAAGTCACTGCACCAATTACGTTAAGAAAGTACAATCTGATTCTCCAATCATGACTTGAGTTATAATACTTCCACATCATTATTAACAGTTAAAAAATGTTCTACTTGTGATGTCTGTTTTCTTCTCTCCCAATCAACTTCAGTTTCACTATTTTCTGACCGGTCATTCTTTTTGATTAAATGCTTTTTGTTAATTTTTTGTACTGCTAATATTTTATGTATTCTACTCAAACATCTTTTCCTTTGTTAACATTGCTACTACTACTACTACTACTACCACTGCTGATTGTTTCATTTATTCTTTCTTCATTTAACGAATGATTTGTTGTTTGAGGCAGTGTTTTTTTATATGGTATAGTTTCATAAATACCTTCACTGCCATCACTTAAGTTTGGAGTATTAATATGTACATGTTTCACCATTTCATATTCTTGGTATGGAAATGTTAGTCTTGTATTTTATTACTAGAATCAGCTAAGTTAAAAAACTCTTCTGTGTGACCAAATGCACTATGTTGTTTTTCTGATACCTGATTTTGTAGACATTCATGCCCTGGCTCATTCATTTTACTAACTGCTCCATGAACGACTTCATAACATGGTTCATGGAAGTTTGTTGTCTTCCAAGGAGGAAAATTAGGACTTTTAACAGTTTCATAATCTGGGTTGGTTACATGGCTTTCAACTCCTGAAATCCTATGTATCTTTTCGTGATTCTGACCTGCACATTTCCCTTCCTGCCTTTCAATCTGCTTCATAGGTTCATAGTCTCCATCATCAAACTCACTATTATTGTCATAATACGAATCCACAGTACGTGACTCATTTTTACAAAGATCATCAAGACTTTCATACCCATGATGCTTTAAATTTTGATCTTTGGCTACAACCTTCAAGGTAATACCTATATGCTCCCTTGAAAAGCCATTAGCAGGTATTTCTCCAATAGCTTTTTTAGAAACTTCCTCATATCTCAAATCATCATAATCTCCTTTTACTCGTTCATAGCCTGGATCATTATTGGCACTTTTGATATGTTTTATTGACTCATAGCTTGGATCAGTAGTGATATTGTTTTGGTGTTTTAACGGTTCATAATCTGGATCACTAGTAATGTGTCTTTGTTTTTCTGCCGATTCATAATCTGGATCATTGGGGTGTTTTAGTGGTTCATATCCTACATCACTATCCATTTTTTCATCAGCTTTGTTTATCAGATCAGTCAACTGAGCTCTTGAAGAAGCTTTAGAAAAAGAACTACCTGTTGGAAAGATAGCAGAGTTTGCTACCTGATGGCAAGTAGTGGGACAAGGGTCTGGTTGATAGTCTACAACAACTGCTGGGTTTTTAACAAGATTAGAAGGAACAAGCATAATTCCTACAAAGGAATTTACATTTATTTTCATTTCTTCCACACCTACAGAAGGAGATGAGTCAAACCTCTTCTTATGGACTTTGGCATACATGTCTTCAACACTATGTGGCTCAACCTTAGATTTTGAGAGATAACTTACTCCTTCAGCCAGGTGTATAGTTTGTCTCTGTTTATTTGATTTATCAACAATGGAGTAAAGACTAGTCAAATTTTTAAAAGGTTGGAAAGTATCATCTTCTGTTGCTTCCATCATCTCATTGCTTTCAAAGGATATTACAGAGGCCAATGAAGCTGAAAATATCAATTGATAATTAAAACCACAATAGCTTCTTTCTAAAAATTAATAGTAAATTTCAAATGCATACTTATATTACATATTGTACCACATATAACTCCTAAACATTGTGGTGAACTCATTTATGTTGATAATTTCATTACAAAAACAATTAATATCATATTATAGCAGTAGTTATTGTTGAAATAGAAAATAGTTTTAAAATTATACTTGTTTATTGGACAAACTCTAAAATATAAATTGTGCTGAACATTTTTTAAAACAAATTTCAGCAATCTGCTGTAAAAATCAAATGAACTAAATACTTTCTAGTGTTTCTTTTGAACTAAAGAATTATTAAAATGATTTTTTGCGAGTAAATTATCTACCATTATTTGCTGTTCTGACAGGCCACAATGTCCAATGAATATTAAGATACCACCTCCATTGATCCAGTTTCCAGCTCTAACCAAACAATGAACTAAAAAATTATGTAATTAACAGTGCCAGCTAAAACACTTGGGGAAAATCTAAGGTTATTTTACAATCAACGAAGAAAATGCTTTTAATATAGATGGATACAGTTGTCTTAAACACTGGTGTAAATATTTATATCAAATTATTTCAGTACAAATTTAATGTATTAAATAATAATGCAAGATAATACAAACTTATAGAGACAACATACATTCTAAAGTTCTTTTTTTGTATTTTGTGACCATTCTCCATTCTCAGTAGGTTAACCCATCATATTTCCACCAACAATAGAGCTTTAATTAACTATGTATGAAATAGTGGGCCAAATTACAACTAAAACTTACTGCAAATTATGTATTTTTATATGAGACAAAAGAATGTATGTTAATAAAACAAGATATTTTCTATCTTAAAAACTTCGGATTTTTAATTCAAAGTATATTAAATAAAATTTAAACACTAGTAAATCTACAAGCCTCTTTAATAATATACATATTTTACAATTTCAGCTTAACATCTTAGTAAACCAAGCACCTTATTCTGTCAACCTATATTCAGAAGCACAACTTTAAAGATGTAGAAACGTGATTTTTTGGTAAAATCACCAATTTCATTTAATCAAATGTGAATGGGGTAGATCCAATGGACCAACCCCATATTGTAGAAGGAATATTGATTATAGTTCTGAACTTAACAAGTGTTTCTTCACAAAATGTTGCAAGCTTTTAGTAAAATGTACAAGTCTATTGCACACAAAAAATTAGATATTTATACTGAAGATATACATGTGAATTTAATTCTTCAGTTTGACTCAGACTCTGATAAATTGAAGTGCACGGTGATGTTCTATCCATCATACAGTTTGGAATATTGCATCTGTATAACCTCTAGAATCTCTGAAATGCATATCTATAATTTTTTCAGTATCTCTATATACTGTATGCAGTATATACTCTCTTCTGTCATGAACTGTCACTAAATCAGGAAGGTAAAGTAAAATAAATGGCTGATAACTCTGACGTCAAATACATAATACCATGTTGAATGGTACTATGTAAAAAGCTGTGGCATGTGCACTTTGACACCCACCTGTGTAAATAAGGTTAACCCTTTAACTGGTAATTTTTTGGACACTAGCAGTCCCCTTACTTACAGGTTTTCTTCAAGTGTTTTTAGCATTCAAAATGTTGTACACCAATTAGTGTTTTAATCTTCCTTGAGGAAATACTGTTGTTCTTCAATGTTAAGATTTTCCATTATTAAAATTGTATTTTGATAGATACTCGCCTCCTCTGATATGTAGCTTTCCTGATTCAGTGCTGCCCTCTATGTGCAAACTTCTTCATTCACCAACAGCCTTAAGGCTCCCAACTAATCTTGTGTTTTTCATGATATTGTGTTGCAAGCAACTGAGCATGCAACAACCCTATATCAAAAGGGGTGCAACACCACCTCCTAGCACAGCTGAGTTCCTCTATACTGATTGTTCAATCATCACTTCGAGATTAGGCAAGAAAGAAAGATGCACCAGAAATGAGGAGGAAGGGTGGGAATTGTGAGAGGAGGGAAATACACATTGAAAATACATTGGGTTCATTCTAGTCCAAAACCAGGCAATACTGGGAATTCTGCTTTAAGTTTGTGGTAGGAGGAGGATCTATACCATCTTCACCACAATCCCTGCAAGGCAAAACAGAAAAGTAACAGCTTTCCTGCAACAGAGTGAGGTCTTATGTTGGATAGTCCTGTGCCAATCCAACATCAGAATATATGAGAACCCAGTTTATGGGTAGCGGTAGGATGGGGAAAAGTCTGCCAGAGAGGTGAATTGTACTACACAGATGGAATACCACTGCTCTACTCTCTACTTAATGGAATTGGTCAAACTCAGGAGGCATCCTCCATGGTCCAGCAGCTAGGAACTGGTGAGTGGGAAGGCTTTTTATGCTCTGCTAGAAGAAATAAGGGGTGATGAGTCTGGAGGAGCACATTACCATAAGATAATGCAATGGGTAGCCATAAAAACTAATTTTTAAAAGCAAGCCAGCACTAACTTTTAAACTAGGCATGGAGGATGGACAGGAATCCTCTACCTGCTTAACTTATCCTAGTCCGTGAGTGGGTATGGTCCGGATCAAGCCTTATTTAAGAAAAGAGCATTGTGAGGATACCTTGAGTGGTCTTGTGGAACACCCCATCTCATGGGCAAGCACTATGTTTGGCCAGGACAGCCCTACACTGTGCAGATTTTGGTTAAGTGTATCCTGGCTGGCAATACTTGTCATTGAGCAGAATCCTGTAAGGGACTATAGGACTCTATAAAAAAAAAAAAGATTTACCCAATGGTATGATGTACAAAGAATAGCAACCAGAGGCAGTTCATAGCCCAAAATGGAAGTAACAGCCAGATGATAGAGATACATACCAGCACAAACATTCTTTTCCAACAGATGACAGAAGTGAGCAGCCAATGAGCGAGTTAGGTGAGGAAATTGATGGAAAGACAGCTTGAAATACTGACAGAATGCAAGAAGAATTGATGGCATACACACATCAGAATGTCAATGATCAGAGCTGAGAAGGAAGAGGAAACAAGTTTTAAGGGACAGAAGGTATGAAGAGCAAGAAGCCAAACCTTCAAAGAGAGGTATGGTAAAGGCATGGAGAACAACATTAGATACACAATCAGAGAGGCTAGAAAAAATGGGAGGGAAAACTTGATGTAATTGGAAAACCAGAAAGTAGTCCAAAAAGCCACCTGGAAACCAGCAAAATTCAAGATATATCAGCCCTGGTTCAAAAGCCATGTGAAGAAAACAAACAGATGGGGAATGGAAGGATGAGAAAATGAGAAAGATCGATGCTGAGACTAGCAGTGATAAATATGCCACTTCTAGTGATAATCATATAAGGAAGACGAGCAAACAGAATCAGACAGGAAAAAGGCTACATGTGAAGAGTCCCAACTGTCTTGCAATAAAGTCGACAAATCTCATGCATAAAGTCAGAGTGATGACACAGCTAGATGGAAGAGAGAAGTATGAGGCTGAAGAAGAATGAAGGGAGAGATTAGAAGAGAAAGATAAGAGGAGGAAGTCAGAAGGCTCAGCAAAGGAAACCATGTTGGGTCAACCAATAGGGTGCCACCAGAAGGACCTGACAATGAGGGTCCCGAATGAAGAAGAGAAATTGAGGGATGAGACAAATAGGGAGTAAGGACAAAGGAAGAAATAGGACAATATCTGACTGAGTGCATCCATCATCAGTATTAATGTATGCAGAAAAATAAACCCAAATAGGGAAGCTTGGTATTGTCATAAGTGGCAAAGGCATCAAAGTAAGCCATCAAAAAACATGAGGATTGAAGGACCACTCTTTGAAAGGGATCCCAAGAGATGTTCCACTGATTGAGTAGAGTCCACAGTGAAAGACACATGTGAGCATGATCCAAGGGATAACAGGTTCCAAGGAAGTCCAAGTCCCTGATACATGGAAAACCTCTCACACAGTGATAGGAGAGGATAGAGCTGTGGAAACCAAACCCTCCAAGGCCCACAAATGTAGCAGAGAAACCTATGCCCTGCTGAGACGAAAAGTGAAGAATACACTCAAATGAACCAGATACTGGGTGGGTGTGAGATATGACTTTTCAAGCTTGACTAGCCAACCTATACTGGTCTACTCTGAAAGAAGGTTATGAGTACAGACAGAGAAGTCTTGTTAGGATCGAGCTAGAAGAAGTTAATCATCAACACAGTGGTGAAAACTCAATCCCAATCTGTGAATGTGATGATCAAAAGCATGCACAGTACAATAACAAAACAATGTATGGGGCTGAGGCCAAAAGAAAGAGCTCAGAACTGATAAACTTGACTGTGATATACAGACTGAAGATAAATTCTAGATACTGGAAAGATAGGATAGTGAAGATAAATATCAAAGACGTCGACCTTCGATAGTAAAAGGCCCGGAGAAAAAGACAATTATGGGGTGAGAAAACTTACCATAACAAACTAAAGAAGGTGAAGAAACTGATGGAGATGGGACAGAACAGACGAATGCTGGAGAGTGATGAGATGAGAATAAAATCCCATAGAAGGGTGAGAAACCCTTTAGATCAAATAATTGGTCTGACACTGCTTTGGAGAGATGTTAGGATCCCTGAAAGGACAATGGGGGGGGGGGGGAACAAAGGGTGAGGCCACTGGATAGAACCTGGAGCCCCCAATGGTTGGTCACAAAAGGAATCCATAGATCCACAAATGGAGAAAAATTGGCCCTATCTGTTCCTGAGTCCAAAAGATACTCACTGACGAAACCTATAAATAAAGAACAGATGGGTAAAGAGGAACAAGATGGAAGAACAGGAAGTGGGTGGAAAGGAGTCAGGAGGATGGGAAACAGCAAATGGAAGAGAAGGATTTAGTCAAGGGAAAATGTTTTCACAAAGCCTCAGCCCATGACTACACAGAATCAGGCTCTCCACCAAAAATCCACTGGCAGAAGAAAGTAGCCAGACGAAGGTTTCCAAGATAATAGGGAAGTTAATGTACTTGGGCAAGAAGGGTGTCCATCCTCAACAAATCCAGCAACAGAGTAACCAAGTGAGAAGGGACAAGGAAGAAGAATACACCAATGTAGAAAAAGGAAGGTAACAAGTGCCTAAAGAAAATAGTGAATTGCTTCAAAAAGGATATGGGTGAAGGACAGATAACATAAAAGGGCAAAGGTTAAAAAAAAGTGAGCGTGAGAAAACAATAACAGAGCACAATAAATCAGAACCCCAGATGGATCAGAAGTGCTCCACTAAATATGCAAGACTGCTGTGGGGGTACATTTAATTTGCCCAGATCTCTGTTCCAGTTTTGGTCAGCAGATGCATCACTTTATACAATTTATTCACTTCTAGTGTTAACCAAATTTAGATTTTGAGTGTTTTCCACTAGATTCATTATCTATAAAAAACTCAAACTTTTATGTAAGGACCATTCATGTTACCCTGTAGCAACCATGTCTGCCCATTACTGATAGTGATGGGTGACATAAAGAAACACAATGATTTATATACAAAAATTCACAAGTTTACCAATTTTGCTGCCACCTATGCACAGGTCATGGAATTCAGTTCACATGAATTTTCCAGAAGTGCTGGGAATACAAAGATGTATCATTATGGAAATTTTCGGGACTTTTTATAGGATTAACTGAAAAAGCATTTTACAACTCTATTTTAATTTGAAACAGCTTTCAGTTGCTTTAGGCTATAGAGAATATTATAATCTTGGTCAACTGCTAACTTACTGAAATAACTCATCTGTATTGTATATTTACTGCCACCTGTTTAATGTTAAAAGTTGCTAAAATTAACACATCAATTATTTCCTGGTAATGCCACTACCTTGTCTAGAGTGAGCCTGAGCAACAGATTTAAGGCTTTCTACAGTTGGAGGTGCAGGTGGGTGCTGAAGTCTTCCTGGTTCAATAGAAGCATACAAGGAAGAGGATCTCTCAGAGTCAGGATCAATCTCTTCATACATTTCTTCCATATCAGGTACTACCACGTAATGGCCATCACTATACTGGTTTCTAGGAACCTAGTGAGTGAATTAGACAAACAAAACATCTGTTTACCCTCATACATTTACTTACTTTAACTGACTTTTTTTACATTCAATCTTACACAAAACTAGTTACATCAGCAAATGACTTTGGCTTGTTGTAAACAGATTTAAATAAATAATTTCAAAAATGTTATCAAAATATATTTCTTTATTTTCTGCAATGCCATCAAATTTTCACAAGAGTATTATTTAAATTTAAACAATGTAGATGTATTCATCATTTAAAAAATGATTTAGATGAAAGATTAGATATCAAAATGATGGGAGCTTTTTTTTGTAAGTATTTTACTTTATTTTGTGATGGGAATGTTCGCAATTACTCATCAAGTTCATCTGTGTGGTTAAAGATTATTCCATAGTATTTCTTCAAAAATATTCAAATATAAAAGTCCACAACTGTATGTCAATATTTTATGAATCTTGTACATTTTTATCTTCTTTGTTTGCTCTTTCCCAAAAGGTAGGAGTCACCTTCAGCTAAGACAGTTTCATTTTTCTAACAGGGTGGTTGGACTTTGGAATGAGTTGCCTTCAGATATTGCAGAGGCAGTAAATTTAAGTGAGATTATGAAAAGGCTTGATAAGTATATAAATGATAAGGGCTGGCATTAAGATTTAAAAAAAAAATATTTTAATTTAGTTTAGAGGATGAAACAACCAAGATGGACCAATAGGTCCCATGTTGTCCCAAAACATTATGTTATTTTATACTGCAAGCTGAATGTCCAAACCACCAGAAGATACCAGAAAGCTATAAAAAGAAAATCTAAACAATCCTACCCTCTGCAAGGTTTTCAACACTTTTTTGTTATGAGAGTATACACAAATAGTTACAAAAATTCTGTCTGATCTCCAGTCACCTGAAATGACCTAAACATAACAATATAATTAAAATGTTCATAATTAAAATTGTGTTTGATATAAATTTTAATAACATACAGCTTAAGTAATAAAAAACAAACTCCTAACCCTAACTTTGATTTTTTTGCCTCTAACAGTAATTTGTATGTGGAGAATAGACATTTTTAAATTTCTCATCTGAATAGATATAGCTTGAAAACAATGACTTGTTGAAGTTCATGTCAAACACTTTAAAATTCAACTAATTTCACTTCTTCCACACACTTAAGGGTTGTTTAACAAAGTCATAAAAACAATGTCTTTTTTGTAAATAGTTCCTTTTCTCCCTTATATGGATTGCGAATTTCTAAACTTATAATTATCAAATAAGAAGCCTTTCTTTGGTCATATAGCTTCATGTAATCTAACTATATTTAGTTTTTTAATACTACCAACAGGCAATATTTTCATTGTATTAGTTCAGACTCGTTCATTTATTTTATTAAAGTAATTATTTTGGTAGTTGCTTTTCACTCTACAAAAACTCTCACTGGTAAGTTGAAACTAATGGAGTTTTATGCTGGACTTCACTCCAACATAAGCGTAGAGATTAGCAGAAGCTCTTTATGAAACAGATGTACATAATTTTTAAAAGGAATACAGAGGTAGCTTTTAAAAATAAGATAAATATTACCTATTTATTTAGTTTTAACAATACAAATGACATTTTATCGTGAATTTTTTTTTTCAGCAAAATAGGCTAACATATGACATTATTAGGCTGGTGACTGTTATATTGAAAAATGTGTATGTATGTTGGAATGAAATTAAATAACATGGTTTTGTAAATCAAGATACAAAAAGGCAGACTTGACCAATAGAAGTGTCAATAAAATTATTGGTTAACACCTGTTACATTTTAAAACATATCATTAGAAAAAAAAAGTAAATGTGTTTCTTTACATTTTCAATCATAATTAAAGCTTTGAATGAAACACCAGTTAAGTTTTTATATTGCAGTTGTCATTTTAAGTGAAGAACAAAACATTTCAAACAATAATTCTTTAAATAGAGATAACCATGTACACTACATATAGGTTTTTCTGTTATAAGAAAAAGAAAGCCTTAATAGTAAACCTGAAACTGACAGGGATACTTTCTCTTTTTTGCTGCTGTTGTAGTTTCAATGTTTCTTCTCTTATTTTGGCTAAAGGTTCACGAACACTTATCACATTATATGGTATGTCCTGGCTTCCTGGAATATCAAATATATTTCTAATCTTAGAAACTTGCTTGTATGCATATACATGCTACAAAGAAAGATCAGATTACTTAGTACAAGAATGAGGAGCCACCAACATTATCAATGTCATGTTAACTAGCCTGTACGATCACCAAATTATTTATTAGTTACTTTTTCCTTTAGTATATACTAATTACTAACTAGTTTAAATCCTGTTTCAGCTGCTGGGGAAGTCATGAGAATAACTATTTGTATGGTGGTAGTGGTCAGGATTCAATTTGGTGTGCTATCCACTTGTCCAGGGTCTTAACTCATTAACACTTGAATTTACTTGAATTAATTATATGAATACTTTCAAAAGCACTAAACAGATTTTACAAACTTCTATGCTAGGTTGACTGAGGGTGTTATCAGTTAGGTGGGTGTAGAAAGCTTGTTTTATCTTTCTTTTTCTTGTATATGGTTGTCTTCTTGTATGATGGACAATTTGAGAATACACTGGTATTATGAAGACTTGTATATGTCTATTATGTTCCTGAATTCTAACTTTTGTTTGTCTTTTTGTTTCTCCAATGTACTGGATTCCACATTTACAAGTGACGCTATAACTGGCAATTTTGCTCACCATTAGGTGGTTTTGTGTGTACTAACTGCAATGGTATTGCATTGTGGCTTCTGAATACTTTTCTAACTTTATCTTATTTAGATATTTTCTGTATCTTTTTACAGAAACTTTTGATGTAGGGGAATATCGGTATTTATGTTTGTAATTTTCTTCCTTCTTATTACTGGTTATATTTTTCTTTACCAAGCATTTATGATGTCCACTATAAAGAGGGATGTGGTGATGTATTTTTCTTCTATCTTCTGTAATAAAAATATTGTTCATTTTGGAAACTAGACAATATAAGGCACCATCTTACACTGTTTGGATGGTTTAATTTATAGTCAAGGTATTTTGTATCATTATCTGTGGGTTTCCTATAACCTCCTGCTTTACATGAATTGTGTTTTATGGTAACCATCACAACTAAGAAAGATATTACATTATCTTCTTTTTCTCTTATGAATTGTAATGTTGGATGTTATTTATTAAGGTGGTTCATGAATTCTTGAATCTTGTCTGAAGTGTGTGGCCATATTACAAATGTATCATCAACATACCTTGGTCAAAATCTTGGGCCTTAGAGCAGCTGTATTGAGAATACTGTCTTTGAAATGTTCCACATAGAAGTTACTAAGTACTGGTGACATAGATGAGTCTGTGGCTAAGTAGTCTTGTTGTTGGTAGTACTTATCTTCCTTATTTACTCAATTTACATTACTGAGATTATAAAAGCAACCACAATAACCTTACAAAACACAACGTACAACTTCAAAGTATTGAACCTATTTACTGATGTAACAAGCCCTTGAAACACACAACAGATATTCTGCCAACTGCTTTAAAAATGACAGAGCTTACAAAGAATACACTTAACTGACAATATCCATGATAACAGAACTCACACTTTACTTCAGTGGTTCTCAAATTGTGGTCTGTGACCCACTAGTGGTTCACGGGAATCCTCCAGGTAACCACAGGCTGGATCAAAATGCAGGTCAATGATGTTCAATGCCATGACCGAGGTAATATGAGAGAATAGAACAGGTGGGGTAGGACTGGTAGGTGGTCCACTGGGTCTTTTACCACACCAAAGTAATTCATGGACAAAAACGTTTGAGAACCACTGCTTTACTTCCAACATACTTAACTCACACTTGTTAATTTTATCAACTGTAAGATGGGTAAAATGATTCACCTTCTATTAAAAGTTTTATAAACATTATCAAATAATTATCATATAATATAAAACTAAATATGATTAAAAAGATTATAAATACTATTAATTATGAATACCAATTAATACAATATAATTTCAGAATTTTGAAAAAAAGTATTACACAGGTGAAACATTTTTAGGAAGTTTTCACAACTAATTTTGCTGGTGGAACTGCTAGCCTTACTAGCAAAACAAATTCATCCACTTTATCAATTAGATAGAATTTATGTCTAAAAAAAAAACACAAACCAAAAACAACTTGGAGAAAAATTATATAGATCAAAATCCATTAAATTTGAATTAGTTGGGGCAGAACATTGTACGTTATCCATCTCAAAAAAGAGGAAAAATAAACAAATTTTCTTCACGACTTTTCAAGTTGACATTGAAAAGAATATTAGAAACTTAATTAATTT